TGGTTAGCCAGACGTAACACATGTCCCAACCACCTCAACTGATGAAGTTTCACCACTTCATCGATTGATCTGCCATCCTTACCTAGTACTCGTTTCCTAACGACAGCATTGCTTACTCGGTTGTCCCACGATATACGAGCAATGCTTCTTAAACATCTATGATCGAATACTAGTAACCTACGAACATCTTCTACTCTTAACGGCCATGTTTCACAGCCATATAAGAGAACGGAACGAACTGCTGCGCAGTACACCCGCCCTTTGGTTAGCGAACGGATATCACGCCTACGCCATAAGTGACGCAGGTTGGCAAAAGCCAATCGAGCCTTCTGTATCCGAGCTGAGATTTCGGCAGTCACCAGACCGTCAGCACTGATGAGACTCCCCAGATAAGTGAAGTGATCTACACGCTCGACCACTTCACTCCCTATCACTAGTTCAGGTGCCGATGCAACCCAGTCTTGAAGCAACATTTTGAATTTCGAGGGGGAAAACCGCATCCCGAACATGCTCGCATTGTTGCTTATGGTAGTCAGAAGACTCTGCATTTTGTCAGCGTCTTCACCGAATAGAACTATGTCATCGGCGTATTCTAGATCAGTAAGCGACTTTCCTGGTAGAAGGTCAACCCCTGAAAAATCTGACGAGCTTAATGTTAACTCTAAGAGGATGTCTACGACAAAGTTGAACAAGAATGGAGAGAGTGGACAGCCCTGACGGACACCACTTGAAGTAGAGAATTCAGATGACAGTTCGCCATATGCTCTCACCCGACCAGTGGTGTTCGAGTAGAGTGCTTGTATAAGGTTAATGTACTTCTTTGGTACACCTTTCAATGACAGACACTGCCACAGAACCTCACGATCCACTGAGTCGAATGCCGCCTTAAGGTCCAGGAGCACGACTATTGTCGGACGTCTAAATGTGTGTCTGTGTTCCAGGACCTGTCGTAGTGTGAAGATGTGGTCTATACAACCACGTCCAGGTTGAAAACCAGCCTAGTTTTCTCGAGTCTGCTCTTCACGAGCTCTAGTTAGACGTCCAAGTATAATTGAGGCTAACAATTTATAAACTATATTAGTTAGACTTAGTCCCCTGTGATTGTCACAAGAGGACTTTTGTCCTTTCTTGTAGATTGGGACAATTAGCGACTGAGACCAGTCAGATGGGATTATGTCCAGTTCCCAGATTCTACCTAGGATCTCGGTCAGTCTAACTGTTAAAACTGGACCACCATCCTTAAACATCTCAAGAGTAAGCCTATCAGGACCTGCTGCTCTACCTCTCCTTAGATTTCCTATAGCTTTCTCAACGTTTTTTAGACTGGGAGGACTTAAATCGATTTGCTATTCAGGATGACTGGGGATCGTGGGCAACCGAAGAGTGGCTGAAGGCCAGTTGAACTGATCCCTAAAGTGTTCTGCCCATCGGTCCAGCCTCCTAGATTGAGAATGGATAATAAGACCATCCTTTTCCGAGATAGTCTCACTCACATTCGGGTTCTTAATACCGGTTTCTTTGATAAGGCGGAAAAGTTGTCTAGTGTTGCCTATCGCCACTGCCTTTTCCATCGCTTTTGCTTTCGCCACCCACCACTGTTCACGGTCGTTACGTAGGCTTTTTATAAGTCTGCACCTAAGCTGACTACGCTCTTCATCATGTTCAGAGTCAGGTGGGATGCGTTTTCGAGCATCCATCAGTTCGGTGGATGCGACTGATATCCACTGCTTCAACCTAGTATTGTGGTTTACCTTGCTAGCAGATACCATTGCTGTTTCCACAGCCTTCTTGATATGATTCCAACCTGCTTCAGGATGGGAATCACTTGCATGGCCGCCTAACTGTTTTTCTAGTTGCTCCTGAAATATTTTCTTAGCTTGATTATCATCAAGTAAAGCCCTAAGAGGCTTCCTTACGGTTTCTTTCCTACGTTCAGCAAGCCTCAAACAAATACGTGCTCGCACTAGGGCATGATCTGAATCTAAACATGTGCCCCAGAACGAGCGACAGTCCTCTATCGAACCCCTCCATCGGTGGCTGATGGCGATATGATCTAGTTGTGTCCAACGTTGAGACGACTTCGGGGGTCGCCAGGTCAAAAGGTGTTTTTCTTTATGCTTAAAATTAGTGTTTGCTAGAAATAGTTGCTTATCTGAGCACAGTTGCAACAGACGGTCGCCATTGTCTGTTCTTTGAGCCGCGAGACCGTAACATCCACCTAGGTGTCTTTCATTTTCACTTAGTCTACCTACTTGTGCATTAAAGTCACCAGCCATTATAACTATATCAGAGCGCTTAACTTTTTGGAGGAGGTCCGAAAGCTTTCTGTAAAACTCATCTTTTACATCATCTGGGCTGCAGTCAGTGGGGGCGTAGGCTGATATGACGAAGAGGCAACGGCAAGTGTCCCTATCTTTCCGAGTCCTTACTGTCCCGTTCAGTCGGACGGCGCACAAGCGACTATCTACAGGGATCCAGTCAAGGAGAGATTGTTCTGCCCTACGACTCAATGCTATACCTACACCGGCGAGCCCCCTAGAAGCAGCATCAGGGCTACCGGATACACGAAGAGTAAATCGAGCTGCTTCTTTATCTTGACATGGTGAGGTCAAATGAGTGATGCTACTCGGATCCTGTATGCGCGTTTCCGAGACGCAGCACACATCGATGGAACGAGATTCTAAAGTCCTAGCTAATGATGCCTGTTGCCCTATTTGACACAATGTCCGTACATTGAATGCTCCAACATGTAGTTTGGAACGGGGTTTAAGGAGACCAGGAACGACGTTTCGCAAACTCGCATCGTTTGCATTAGTTGTGCACTGTAATAAATGAATGTGAGAAGAGTTAGTTGTGGAGATAAGAGAGGTTTTAGGGAATTTAGGAAGGATTTGATTTTGACCGATTTGGTCTCGCGTGCTGTTATGGGTATGAGGGCGGTTGTCACTTCCCGGCTGCCCACACCGTGGAAGATTGTTTCTTGACGAACCTGAAAGGGAAGATAGATTAGTGTTGGTGCGTGACCGCAGAGTACAAGGGACAACTGCTTGAGGCCGGTCACGCACGGCCTTTTTATGAAATGTTTTTTGAGGATTAGCTCCGTTCTTAAAGGCCCTTAGTGGGCACCCTTACCCAAGGAGACGGAAATCCGTGAGGTAGGGGAGGTGTGACATTTTTAGGGCCGACCTTTTCTAACCCCTTCCTTCCTTGTGAGAAGGCAGCATCGCTGCAGATGCTGGTTGTCCGAGGGAAACACCTTACTGCTGTCACACCCCTCTGCAGTCAGCAGTACGACTTCGCCCTCAGACCTTGGGTAGCTGCTTTTAGTCTCATCGTTCTCCAATCGACCTGCCTGGCATGGTAGGACCTGCAGGAACATGTGTTCCACGTCAAGGTAGCAGCTTCGGTCGGGACAGATAATGTTAGAAGTTGTAAATTCCGTATAAATTCTAAATATCTGTAAGTGAATTAAAAAGCATAATGAATCTTTCCAGTAAGAGCTTATGAATTCACACTAAACTATAAAAAGACCACTTGTCTAAAAGAATCTTCATAATTTAAATGCATACAATTCTGATGCATTGATTACTAACGTGAATAAATGTACGTCTATCTTTTTAGTGACTCAATTCAAATAATTGATTGTAACATGAAAATTTCAGAATTATACTAATTTCAGTTGTGGTGTTTCAATCTCTGAGCTGGATGATTTGGTTGCGGAGCTTTTATTGTTCTTCTGAAAAACACCATTGGAAATACTAGGTTAAGTGTGGATAAATAATAATAATCATCCACAGAAATCAATGCTAGTGATAACAAAAATAAAAAAGGTGAGATCGTTTATTAAGCTATATGCGGTTAAGGAAGGGACAGAGCCCTTTCAAAACTACACTGGGAGGTGATCACTCATTCCTTGGTTAGGCTGCCTGGTGGTACGCCCCATGTAGCCATTTCCACAGGAGCAGCTGAATTAGTAAATGCATATTGAGGAGGTCAATTCAGGGAACACACCCTTTGTTTTAGGAGACATCACTGGCCGGCTCGAGAAGCATAATATACCATTAGGTACGGTTCACGTATCTCAGAATTTAAAGACCCCATCAGCTTGTTTCAAAAACAGGTTTGAAAAAATGTAATTTTCCACTGTCACTAGTTACTGTGATCGTTTAAAAGCATCTTAAAAGAATCACATTTCGTATCGTCATGAAGTAGTCAGTGTATGTAAGAGTAGTTATCAGAATACATCGATACGTAACCAGCACAACCTAATTGGACAGTGAAAGTAGCTTCATTAAAATTCTATCAAAAAAAACGTTCCCATAGTTATATTTTATCTTAGCATGACTACAACAACTGACGGTTGAATTGTCATGTACTAATATGAATGATAGTATGACCACACTGGTTGGGTTAGGGTGTAGACCTTCAATTTAACTGTCAAGAACAAACTATATTTACAGGGAATTCTATAGATTATTATGCAGAGTCGTCTGCTAAACTAAGTGCTTCAAATAGATCAAATTAACAGCAACTTTCAAATTCACCAGTCTCAATCTAACATTTTCAAGTAGATACGAGGTTGAAGAACAAGCATTCAATGTTTATATCCCAAATACTTCATCATGATAAGAAAGCTAAGACATTGTAGTTAATCAGCTTATATAAGGGAGGGATATCTGTCAGACTAGTTTATATAACGATCAAACATTTTTCAGCAAAAGTAATTTAGGCTATCTTGAGCTTTCTCAATTTTCATACAGGAGAGTCAGGTCATATTTTATGAACTGAAAAGATGTTATTCCCAAGAATCGAAACCATCTAAAATTGTGCTAAGAACCTACTAGTCCAAAATTTAAGGTTGCATCATTATCCTTGGGTACATTCAATCCTCTCCTTGAGAATACAATACAAACATCGGGTTATTCAACATTTCCTAAACTAGTAGAATCCAGATCGATAATGTTTTCAAAACTAGTATATTCAATTACAAAATTCATTTGTCATAATCTAACAAGAAAAAATTTTTACAAAGTTAGTATCATTCTTTGTTTAAATCACCAAATACAAAATTATTGAAATATTCTTTGATTCTTTGCGACAATTGTTTTTTGATGTTTTCATTGCAAAATGCCATATTCACTGAGTCCATTAATATTTGATATAATTGCTCTGTATTTAAAGAACAACGTTCAACAGACAATTGAAATTCACCTGATAGTGTACAATTGAATAGTCCTTTATCATCAGTCTATAGTATAAATAAAAATATTAAGAAATAATTTTCGAAAATTATGATCATATATTTTAATCATAAATATAGAATAAGGAAGATGTTGTAATGGTATAATAACAATGGCTACCAGATAACAATCATTCTCACTGTTGACTTATGAAAATGAAGTGATTGACCATCGTTACTAGTCAGGCGTTTTGTACTTATCAAACAAGAAATGGGTAATGTAATTTCCTACACTTGTGGATAGCAATATTGTTTTAAACCGTAATTTACAAGTTCGAATCTCAAAGAAAATATTCACTGCTACATAAAGGTATGCATCATCCATGTCTGCTGACCTAGCGATTAGAAGACTTGGTTTTTGACCAATTATCAGTTTGTTATTTCGAATTTCACTCTATTTAATACAGTCTAGACAGATGGATAGTATTCCTAGCTCGCTCAAAATAGATATGGCTCAAAGCTAAATATACTAACCTGTCTTTGGTTAGTGAGATGCATCAACTACATCTATCGAAAGAGTTTTGAATAAGGGATGAGACTTATACCGTCGGTTGCTCTGCTAACCACCAACAAATATTATTGGGGTGGTGAAGAATTTATCATAAACTGGAAATAGATAAAGTCATGCAAAGCAAGCAATATTATGTATGTCATCAATGCTTTTCAAAGTCAAATGTGAATATATTTTACTGAAATAACAAGAATAAATCCAAGAAAGCGAGTAGTATAATTGGGATTACTAGACTTAGCGAGGCATACTATACGTGTAAGGATGAACCTATTGTCTTAAAATAATAAGTAAAATGGAAACCAGAAACTAAGTCGAAGTGTACGGATGTACTGAATAACAATAATTCCTATGGTAGTGTCCTGAAATTGAGTGAAAATTTCAAAATTGCAGATTATTAAAAACGATTATTGGACTGATGTTGGGATGTGTTTGAACAAGCTACATTTCACTCTCAATTTAAGTGTCTCACTTTATAATAACATTAAACACTTAGTTTTTCTAGAAGTTTTTAGATAAAAAGGAATTCAAAAAGGGATATAACTGTTTATGGTTTACAAGATGGGAACAAAAATGACTGAATGGAAAGCTAAAGTTCGTGTTCATAGTTCTAAAGAGTTAAAAATCAATTTTAAAACATACGATTTAAAAAACGAATGACTAAATGCTTAAATGAGTATAAATTTTTAAGAAAACGTGTAAACTGATTCTGTAATGCAGTTCACAGTAAAACTATGCATAAATCAATATAAACAGCTACGATAAACAAGCACATTGTTCTACTGAGATTCGAAATCAAAAATTAGTCTACAATGAAAAGGAGTTGTTTAATATATGTTTTTATGAATTCTTATTTGCCTTATTCACCGTCCGTAATGGGGAACAATTAATGTATTCAGAGCGGTCACTGAAATCTTTCCCTCTATAAGCTTAATCTATAAATGTGCTTGTTGCTGTTGATGATCAGTGATAATTCATTTTACGAGAATTGTATAAAAATCGTTTGAGCATAAAACTATGTTTGCTTTTAATGCAGCAACTGCACTAAACACCAGTAACTGTATAAATACTAATTTGTTTTGGCCCTCATTACTCACAAACATTCTTTTTCATAGGATAAGATGATTCAGTTTGATAGAATATGTATCAACTTTCTCCCTCAATCCATAATCTGTCTACAGATGCAATACAAAGCCTCCATACCTTAATCTCTCAACTAAATTGAGAATTTTTTGTAAGCTATATAACCAAGCGCAAAGTATTAATATTTTCAAAAAGTGTTTAGTAGTAACAAAATGTAAGAATAATCATGGATAATCAACTAATTGATCAATACATATACATCGTAGAAGTCAATGTTAACAAATATATCAAGGCGATGAGACAAAAATGAGTATATTCAACTTACACAAATGCAAATAGGATGTTTCTTGTCCACCCAATAATTTAAATGATGCGATTCATAATCTTCAATAGTTTTTGACTTTACATTTGATGTCAAGCATAATTCTAACGTTGTTGTTTTTTTTTTAAATTGCATGAATAAAAAGAAATAAACAATAGAATAATTTATGATATTAATTTACCTTCCAAAAGTAATGATACAATAGGTTGAAATCGTATCCTTTGTTGTAACAGTTTAATTAGTTGTAAAACAATCTTAATTGTACAATACGCGCAATACAATGGAAATGGAATATATCCATTGAAAGTTGAACGAAGTTCTCTGTAATGTCATGTTTACATGATCACCTGCTTTTTTAACTTGAAAATTAATGATACCAGAAAAATGTATAGAAATCACATTTTAATGGTACAGTATGTTTTTTTTTGCTGGAAATCCAAGTTTTCACATAAATATAAGTTGCTTTTTTAAGCGTATTATAGGTTGAGTTTTTTTAAAGAAACATCTGTTACAACAACAAAATGATCGAGAAAACAAATTCGTTTGTGATCTAAAATATCATCAATATCATAATGATTTTGTACATTTCTTTAGACCACTAACGCAGTGCCTTGAAAATTAAAAATATACTTGCTTTTTTATTAGTCTGTTAATAAGATTTTAATCCGACATGCTAAATATTTATCGACCAATTTAAGTGCGCCAAGATTTAATCAATGTAAATTTATCACCTAAGTTGATTCTCGACATGCAGCTTTATTAAACTCTACCGTAAAATTAGTGAGGATTAAGAACACCTCCCAATAAAGTAATAAAACAACAGTCAGTAATGATGTGAAGAAGTATTGACTAGACAATATGAGGTGAATAGGAGGAAAATACCGAATTTCCATCGTAACTCAAATACTGACCAACCTGCGCAAGTTAGCAATCAAGCATAGATTTGTAAATAGGAGTTTAATGAATATCATTTTTAAAGTCTAGTAACATTACAGGACTATTCAAAATGAATTAGAGTGGGATGAGAGCCTGATAGACTAATACAATACTGGAAGGGCTAAAGAGCCATAGTTAGTTAAACTTCGTGTACAATTCCAGGTAACTTAACAACTAATCTGTAAGCCAAAGTACCAAAATGCTGTGGAAACTATAAACACCCCGTCTCCTGCCACACACGTACAAGAAGTTAAACTGAGACTTTTAGGGATAACATGAAAAACAGAATTAGATAAGTTTGCTGTTTGCAGAATGATAATGCTAGTAGTAGTTTGGATGTGTTACTTTACTTTTTTTGCAGAAAAGCCTTTTCATCATTAAAAATCTTCGTAACGGTATGATTGTAATAGCTAGTCAGTCACACGTAAAAAATACTACCTATCTTCAAGCTTTCAATTTCACATTTTGTTCGCAAGTAGCTGAAGATGTTGATTAGGTTTAAAAACCTGAGACAATTTAGGCTTCGAGTACAGGTTTTATATGTACCTGGTGATGTAAGAACTGGTAACTACGGGATTGAAAGTAAGTCGCTTTAATCACTAAGCCAACCCCCTGACTACTCTTATTCTTCAGTTTTGACGGTTACGTCAACCAATGCTAGGCGTTCCAATGATGTAAAGTAACAAAAATCAAAGCACGATTGGTGGATATATGTGTTCATGAACTATTTGGCAAAAGATTTATGAAAGGAAATTGTTTAATACCTAAAGGTATTTTAGATTTTAAAACGATTTCTTTTGCTAAAATAGAATTCTCATCTGAATTGGTCAAAAATATTCCGTGCCCCAATCGATCTGGTAGATGAAGGCTAAGAAATTTATACCAATCTTCACTATGATCAGCCGTTTCAGCTATATGTACAGTTGTTTTTAAACCATATGAACGTGCGGTATCAAGGATTGAAACGAAATCACATAGACTTCCTACCTGAAACAAAAATAAGAATAGTCTGAAATTACTGTCAATCAATTTGTATATCTAAGGACACAATATTTCAAGTGAACTGAGACATCTGTATAAATAATAGAATTTAAAGCTTTAAACAAATTTATACACGGTCAAGAAAGTATTCGTGAAGCAAACATAAGAATGCGACAGTAATGTTAACTTTTAAATTCACTTTACATCTATATATTACATGTTATCTGTCATATAATCTTTATCAATCTAAATTTCACAAAACACAAAAATACTTTTACCATTACATTATTCATAAAGAGAAAGAAATAAACATACGGTGTTGCCTTAACTTCGGTGATTGTATGCACAGTTGTGGGGTTTGTAGAAAAAGCAAAATTCAATACAAGATTATGGAACTTAGGGTCTCAGTAAAAATTTTCAAACAGATGAACTTACTTGTGGATTTCCACTGACATCGATACCTGATACTAATCCATTAGAATAGTATTCTTTTGCTAAATCTAAAGTGATTAACGCCTCATCGATACTTTTAGATCTGTCTATAGACAGTAATAATATCACGTGTATTTTATTATCCAATACACTTGGTGCACTTTGTATTCCTTTGATTACTGCATTCAAATAAGAACGATGAGTTGGTATTGGTCGTAATGTAGTCCTCAACTCCAAAAGAATAACATTCTCCTGATGAAATTCTTCAATAACAGAAGTTGTAGCCTAAAAATTAATGTGAACTTGTAGCAAGTAAGATGGACAGTAATTGTTGGAAACGCAATTATTTATTTGAAAATTCATGTACAAATAAATGCTTTAAAGGGTAGTCAGTTACAACGTAGAACTTCGTAAGTACATGAGTTTAAGTTGCCATACCACATTAGCACAGAGGCGCGATTGTCAATTCAAAGCCCATAGTAGTAGAGGTAGAAGTATTAGCAGTAATCAAAAAGATTAATGATCGAATACATCATTCGAGAAGTATACCACACAGGAATCAATCAAAATAGTACAAAAAAATGGTCATGAGGAATTCGGAAAATTAAGATATGAAAGAAGGCAAAGAATGGATGCACCTACGCCATTGCAAACAGTTTCGAGCTGTGATTCAAGGTCTCTAACCATAAGTTACCATCATCTCGCGAACATTAACCTGGTTGTCTACACCTGCCAACACTTCAGTCCAGTTGTCAGTAACTTCATGGATTAGTGCCATAATTTGGTTTGGTCGCCCCTACCTTTCTTCCGGAATACTCCTACACCACTCCTCGAGGCAGTCAGGGATTAGGTATGAGAAATACATGTCTCAAACACTTCAACTGATGAAGTCTCAATACTTCATCCGTTGATTTGCCATTCCTAGTTCGTATAACGTCATTAAATAAAATCACAAAACTGAATCCAAACCAAGCGTAAACATTCAATTAATAGATCTAATTCTACATCAAAACCAGTTTTCTTACAAAAAGCACTGTGAAATCCCTGGTTATTCAAATTATAAATTAAGGGAATTCACTGAAATGGAGAACTGAATTTATATTATGAAAAATATACTCTAGATAATTTCTTAGAGGTGTTGTTTTAGTGTTTTGGAGAATAATTTGAGAAAAACAGGGACACTATTATGCAAACTGTTTCGATGAGACTATTTAAATGAACACTGATAATATATACGAGAAAACGGAGTCGATGTAAAAAAAAAGACTAATGAGTAAAAATTACAGACAAGTATATGTAGATTATCGGTACTTTTTTGATTTCCAGACTATGAATGAAATCTAAAAAAGAATATGTACTGATAATCATCAACGTGGAAACGTGACCCCGAAACATAAAAGCCAGGGAGGTGTTAGATCCATACCATAACTCTATTGAAAGAAATTAGTGAAGTTAAAAAGTGAAGCACATTCACAAGTCATATAATGAATTATTTTAACTGAGGATAAGATATAGCAAGAGGTGCCCTTTCTCGAAGAGCGTCTTACTTCTGACGTATCCTAATACAGTTACCAGTACAACGTCATCATTAAAAACATCACTATCGAACAATTACTAACAGATTTATCAAAAATAAAAATGAACTTTTAAAACAAAAATGCATACTCTTTCCAAGATTTCTGGAGTTTCAATCAATTTGTGAATTTTTTGAAAAGCATCAAAACACCTACATGTAGAATTTTTGAGGTAAATAAAACGCCACAATTACCGGTCTATATCCCCGTCCCATGTTTCGAAATCGAAAGTTGGGTTAGTATCCTTAATATTTTGATTGGCAATTGATTCACGCTTCAAAAACGCCGGGCTAATACTCCCGGAAAGATGAGCATGCAACTCCTAATTGTCATTTAAATGTGATCTAATCTACGTACAATTTTCGGTAGGTCGTGGTAGAAACTGTTCATTTCGACTGTTCACGTTTACTAAACGTTTTGTGACTGAACTTGATTGAGGAGCCTAAAACAATAAATGTGGATGATTAAGAGTTAGTGACTAGCTGAGAGAAATCAATGTGCAGAATACCACTGCCAAAATTAAAGTACAATCAACTCATGACTCACACTTCAGTTAAAAAACTAAGTAAATTCGTTCCAGCCTCATCGCCATTTATTCTGAGTTAAATCACCAAACATCTTCGACCATTGTTTAAAAAACTAAGGTCCTAATGGATAAAGTTACCTACTTCCTAAATGTCAATCCAAAAACTACTAAGTTAGTGAGAAATCGAGTTACAAGAATAGAATATGGAATCTATCTATGGTCACTAGTTACGGGCTGATTGTGCGAATAAATGCGATTCCGTTTAACAAATCTAAGGAACGAACCATATAACTTCAGTGATTTAAGCCGTAAAAACCTCAACCAAGGGTGCACACAGATTTTTAACTTACTTCAAAGCCTAGACACCATATATATAAACGTTTTGTTTCGACAAAAAACTGCCCGTCCAGATAAATTTACTAATAAAACTTCGTGCTATCATACTTCGTCATCTTAAAGTGATGCAGAACTAGGGAGGAGTATCAATCGGAATCGAAACTAAATATCCAAGAGGCTAATCTACATGTACTAGACATAGACTCATATAATATGTATAAAGAAAAATGTAGGACCACAGTACATAGTTTGGTAGAAACTAGTTCGACTTCGAAACCGATATAGAATTTGATTGAAAAATCTTTTATTAAACTACCCTTATACTTTACATAATGTACGGTGGAAAATAACATGCAAGATAGGTCTTTATATATCCAGGTACGGTCTATAAAAAACAAATGTACATCGAGTAAAGTTAATATCCCAGTCTTCATGAACTGGTTGAATACCTGTATTCAATAACATGTATAAAAGGATACAAATGGACCCAGTTTTGAAAGTGTATGAGTCCTAAATAAGAGTTTAGAAACACTTTTAATGACAAATCTGACGAGTGAAAGATCCTTATACAGGCAGCTATATATTTACCTGATTATTTTTGGTGTAGCCCAAGATTCGCAAGAAGTATATATCAATGACTTCGCAGGAAGCAATGCCGAGATTCGACAATAAACGCATTATCCCGCCCGTAACGCACCAATTTATATGCAGTGGGCTTAGAATCTGAATGATTTAAAGGCCTGCAGCGATATTCTTCCTATCTTTCAAATATATCTCCACTCTTCTTCATTCCTGACTTCTGTTTTGACTGGCTTCGGGATACGCTATCAGATAGGTGTTTTGGAAAAAGCACAGTTGGACGATGAAAATCTGTATCATTTTCATGCTCTCGGATCTGTACTCATACAGAAAGACCCCTCTGTAGTTTGTCCTAAACCTAACCCTTTACAGTTGTATTAGTACCAAGATGGCTCCAAAGGTGGTCTGATTTACAAAATTTCCCTCCGTCTTTATCATGTAAAAAATGATCTTACCAAGTACGCCACCAGCACTTACACGGCAACCCAGATTACCAAGCTTCTTAGTTGCATCTAAGTACTATATCGCACAATTAAATTACGGCATAGGATCCTGCCAGTAATGTTGACGTAATTCTCACTTTGAAGGTTCGAAGAGTATACCGTACCTATGGACAGCTTGTACTGACTCAACTTTTATGAAGAGAACGCGACTGGTTTAATATAAACATTTATCATTATAACCCATTGTACCAGTGACTTTTCTACTGTACTATTTCGTTTTATTGTACCCAAAACACACGTCTTCCTTCCTTCATTGACCCTAGGCTTGCTTAAGTACGCTTGGTAGTCTCGCTCATATATTGTGGTCGTATCTTGGTTTTATTTCAATACCACGAGATCTCCAACGATTATACCTTAACTCCAATCGCTGCTGGTCTTCTGATTTCTGCCTTTAACGGGATTCCATGCGGTTGTTGGTGTAATATAGCTGCAATTTGCTATATGTTATTACCCTCTGACTAATTTTGGGTTGCATCTCTTCGGTGTCATCGTACAGTAAGACATTATGATCAAGAAAACACAACAACTCGCAAAAGTGACATGCACAAATATCATCGGTCGATGAATTCTTTAAAGCAAAATTGCCTTATAAAGATCCACAGATTCTATATTAGAAAAACGATCATTTGTATTACTCGATTAGTAGTGACAAACTTACTTATCACCGGAAGACAGATTATCCCAAACTACTTGCAGTATACCTGGTAGAGTAATGATAAATCCCTAAGGATAATAAAGAATGAATATGAACAAAAATATAGATACAAAATCCTTAAAATACATTTCAGGAGAGCTAATGGACAAGATGGTAGACTAAAACAAGCATAACGTTAACCATATAAATAGCTTCCAGCAAGATATTTAAAAAGTAGGCTAGGTGACAGTCTGTTATGGACAGTCTTAGCAAAAACACAAGTATATTCGGGATGCGCTAGTCTCCCTCTGAACACAAAATCTTACTCCTGAACAGTTGCACGTAAACATCAAGGCTGATCATGCAGAGTCTCGCCGTTCAGTATGTCCAGCTCGAGTAATTCAATACCACTTGCAGAGTATAAAAGCACTCTCCTCGCACAATCTCAAAGTGGCAACATTCTCCCCCTTTCCCCCTGGGCTAACAACCCCTCCTGTAGATTTCAGTAACTTACTTAACATGTCCCCCCTAACTCCTCATACCACACCCGCGCAGGACATAGTAACTCATTTACTCAAGATACCCTAAACTATTTTAGCTTAGCGGGACATTTGCCTAATATATGTCTGATTAATGCTCGTTCGATCTGTAAAAAAGACTGATCTACTCATGTTTGCGACTATTTGTCAACCATCAATCATAATGGTAATTGAGGCATGGACTCCCAGTAATATTTCTGATGTCACTATATCTCTTGAAAACTATGATCTTTTTCGAAGTGATTTGGTTGCCTCATATATGCCCACTGAAGCTTGAATTCACTCTTATGTGATATATCGGAACTAAACAGATTGCCAGATTCTTTGTGGGTCGATCTGAAACCTTCAAATGCACTTTTATTACTGTTCGGCTGAGTTAATTGTCATCCTAATGCACCAACAGGAGATCTAGTATTATTGTCAGAAGTATTCGCGTTTGTTTCATCCATAACGTTTACAAGCAAGGCTATTTGTGGAGACTTCAACATGCATCACTCCTTGCAGAGTGTTACCCTTATAATTGGAAGATTAAACATATCATCCACACAATTAAATCTGGGCCTACAGCGAATGTTGAAAACTACCAACCCATAAACATAACTTCAGTAGTATCTAGGGTGATGGAGAAAGTAGTTAAGGCAGAGTTAGTACAATACCTACTTAATAATAATCTGATAGTGACCTCGCGGCACGGGTTCTTGAGGTCTAGATCGTGTGACACATGCCTGCTAGATTATTTCATTGATATCACCCAAAAACAAAAGAAAGTTTCTGGTATCAGTCCTTTTCTTCGACTTTAAGAAGGTGTTTGGTAAGGTCCCACACAGAAGGCTTCTCCTTAAACTAAAGTCATTCGGAATCAGTAACCCACTACATTCATGGTTTTCTTCGTTCCTAAATGGGCGCCAACAAATGGTTAAATAAAATAATTGCCTTTCATCACCAAGACCAATAACCAGGGGAGTTATCCAGGGAAGTGTATTAGGTTCATTCTTGTTTCTTATGTACACAAACGATATACGTAATACTATAAGATTTGGTAGAGCATACTTATATGCTGATGATATGAAAATAGTAAACAGCTATAAGCCCGAAGATCTGGACGAAAATATAGACAAATGTAGCACCGTGCATTTTAGTAACCACCACCATAATATAACACTACTTACAAAAATGTAGGGTTCAGACACCAATGTCAGCGCGTGATCAGGGCATCCGTTATGTTAGTTATTTTATAACTAATTGTAGTTATGCCAAAACTAACCAATCGGATTGATTAAGCGCTCACCACGTTATCTAGTCTGACCGGTCTGTAAACTTTCTTTGGTGTGAATGACCTATCGATTGAAGGATGTTATTATTTTATTTTATGTTGATGTGACTCATGTTTTTATTCATTTTTCTAAAGACACGCTATGCTGGTCGAAACAGATAAAGTTTAAAACCAAGCTTTCTTGTTCTGACTATAGCTTTACCATTGATTCTGTTAGAGGCAGTACTGAGTTTACTGTTTTAGAATTACATCTGTAGGACAAATTAAATCCTTCACGTTACTCCAGAAACCTAAAATTCGAAAAACACGCCTTGACTATTATCTTTAAATCCAGGCGACTAATTGGGTTTATAAATAAGAACTTGTTGACAAGTGAGGCTAGATTTACACTCTTGAAAATGTGTATAAGGCCCTCACTTGAATATTGCTCACTTATCTTTTCAAACGTGAATACCATGAACAATATGTCCAAAGAAGCTTCACCCGGTGACTAGTCGGATGAAGTCATAACCTCGACAGATGCATTTCTCATTGATTCTTTCAGTTCTACATTTCCGTAATCTGTTCAATTCCATTTTATGATGTTACTATTTGTATTTTGTTATAGTTTCTATTTTTTGTGCCTTTCTTGAGTTTCTATGTTTTCCTCAGAACTGCATTATGTTGTTTAAGTTGATACTTAACTGTGGTGACAGCCATATTGATTTGGTCCCTTTGGCGGCTGGAACACTGAGGTGGACTGGAGGTGTGTAATACGGATTGGAATTTGGCGCACCCTTCCAGAACTGGAAACACGCTCCGTTGTTATAGAAGGACTAAAAGTTGTAATATATACATTTATGATTAATAATAGAACAGTTACTTACCCGGATCACGCTTTTTGGATTTAAACTGGGAAAGACTAGTATCTAAACTTTCTGAACAGTTATTCCTAAACCCAAACCTCGGTTTGGATTCTCTATGTAATTTCTTCATGATAAGATGCAGTCTATTGTGGAACAGGTTACTAATTACTGTCCGTATCTTTGGCACAATCACTAAGTTGAAGTTGTTGTTAGACTCTAAAGAGATTTATCAACTAGTCCCGGAACACACTCCAAGTCTCGAGGCACTCTTTTATGGTCCACCAAATATTTAGATAAACCTTAGAAACTAATTACAGACAATAAACATATTATGCCCGCATTACCATCCATACACGTATCAAGGAATTATAGACAAATCCTCCTGCTCCTACTAACAGAAACAGGTGGTGCCTATGAACTGCTACCCGTGACTTTTCTCTAAATTTAAATTCCAATCATTATTCTCCTATCTTCACAGCAATTTTAGTTTTTAATTCTAGTAGACAGGTAAACTGAAAGGCTTGTAGACGCTGCTTAATTACAAGGAACTCAAACTCCCTGTTTCCCTGTAAGTTCCTTCTTGTTTAAGTATTAACAGTTTAATAAATTTTTATTTCCCGAATTCATTAACATCCAAACACCATTCCTGCATACAAACTTGTCGCTTTACCTATTAATTTTTTAACATCATTTCAACTATTCTTTTTCTTTCTGCAGTTCCCTATCCTTGATATCTCAAACTACCTATTATATGACGCATCTTACAATTTATAACATTAGTTTACTCAAAATCAGTGATAAGCTACGTGGATACAGAAGCCATAGTTGTCTAGTTTCTTTGTAACGTGGAGCTGGTGGAGAAAGTGTAGAGAGCATATACTATCAAACATTGTTTAAAATCTACCATTAAACGTAAGAGAGCCTAACATCACAAAAAGATGGAGGGTGGTGTATCTGACCGGCATTCATGACGGTGGGGCGATAACCTCAATCCACTCATGTCTGCGGGGCAGGACATTTTGTTTGCTTACGGCTCCTTACGATAAAGCAAGATGTAACTAATCAGTGATATTGATGTTACTTTTGCTCGTAAACCTCGTCTAAGTCTCATGTTCGTAAAGTTGCACTGTTTTTAACTTTAACCATGAAATCCTATTACAAGCAGATCTAGACAATTATACTGAAAAAGTGCTCACACATGACTTCGTGAACTACTGAAGTAAAAAGAAAAAGATCATATAAATTATCACGAAAGAATCTGATCATTGTAACTCATTATTATGTTCTGTACATCAAAATTATTGCTAACGTTTTGGTTCTTCTGAA